GAAATGGGCCCTGGGGGATGGCCTCGAGCCTTCGGTGGCCGCTGCGCCTCCTCCCCCCTGCTGTTCCCCCTCGGCGTTCCTTTGATTCCCTCCTTCCCCTCCCTCCCTCCTTGCGTTCCCTTGCTTCCCTTCACCCCCTCTTCCCTTCCCTCTCCCTTCCTGCATTCCCTCTCCATCCCTTCACGGGGAAGCGAGGGGTGAAGGGAAGCAAAGGGACGCCGCCGCGTCGACACGGATCGGGGACGCACTGACCCGGGTCAGTGCAAACCTGGAGCAATCGGGCTCTGCAGAATCCTGCAAGGATCATGCAGAGTCCTGCCGGATCCTGCGCGCTAGCCCAGGTCAATATGTATCCCGGCTTCTGCAGGGTCCTGCAAGAACAGCGCGCTCTGGCTGACCCACGTTTGCAGTGAGCCCCGTCTGGAGACTCCCGAACGGAGCGAACCTGCCGTACACCGATCCCAGGCCCAGGGGATGTGGCCTGGCCAGGGCCCGGCGCTGTGTGCAAATTGCGTGCGCCGATGCTCACCGTCCTCGCGCTCTCTCCTCCTCCGCATCCCACTCTGCCCACCCGAGGCTTCCCACTCTGCCCACCCGAGCCTCAGGAGAGGCTGATTCCAGACGGAGTAAGTCCAGACGAAGGCAGAAAACTCCGCATTGAACAAGGAACATCACGACATACCGTGCCTGCGATGCCACAGCGGTCGTCATGAATTGATGCAAACGAGCAGAGCCTTGCGGGCAGTGGCGTGACCCGCCACAACATGGCACACCAGAATGTACGGTGCAGCGCGTCGAATTGCACGGCGTGGTTCCTCCACAGGGCAAGGGCATCCGAAAATGTGCGGACAAGAGTTCGCCATTCCCCCGGCGTGTGCTGGCAGGGGGAAGGAGGGGGGTAAGCGGCAAGGGGGGAGCTGGGTGAAGCAAGGAATATCCCCCAAAACGGCTAGGTATGGCGGCAAGCGGAAGGTGCATCTGTGCCCGTGTGCCGCGCCACCGCCGCCGCCGCCGTTGTCGCGGCAGGGCACGAGGTCCAGGGATCGAGGAAATTCAGCCCCCCCTTGGCAAACGAGCACACCCAGGCGGATTTGATAGTCGGACCAGCAAAGAATCCTAAAACTACCGAAAGTATCCGGCAAACGAACTCCGACCAGCGAGACCGACGGGGAAATGCACCAGCACACTGCGAAGGCCAGCGTCGGGTGAACTGGCGCAGAATTTCTGAATCTACCTGTCTGGGTGGGCGTCCTCTCAGTGGCCGAATAGAGGAGCAAGGATAGTGAAGGGATGAGGGATACGCAAGCAGAATCTTGGGCGGTTTCTCACAGGGAGGGGTGAGGAGCCCTTCCCACTTCGAACATTGCCACAAGCGCCCATGGCACAGGGTGGCCCCCTTCCCCTCTCCAGATCTCCAGGCCTCTCCAGACGTCGTCGACGGGGGCGGCGGCGACGGGGACGCGAGCGACGACGGCGGCGGGCTCGACGACAGTCGCACCATGGCGGCAAGAGGCGCGAGAAGAGGGTGCGGGCGCGGGCGCGGGCGTCGGCTCCCTCTCCAGGACGCCGATCGCGCGCTGGGGCCGCTAGTTTTTGCGCGGCGGGGGTGCCCCTCGCCGGGGCCCCTGGGCCGCGCCCCGGAGCGCCAGGAGAGGAGGGGAGGGGAGAGGGGGGATGAGGAGGTCGAGGAGTGCGGGGGGAAGCAAGGATGATGAGGGCGACGAGCGAGTATACGAATGACGGTGAGCACACACACACACACACACACTACAAAGGATAATGGACCACCTGGCGCGTATGGATCCCCATTCAAAGCATGCAGAAGGACACGTTCAATGACTGATGATTCATAACCATTCTGCATGTCACAGCAATATGGGCAAATGAACATGTGAACTATCACATTTTACACGTGGCTTGGGCTGGGGATGCAACCCGCAGCAATCAGCCCAAGGCCACATGAATAGCATTCCGCGGTGGAAAACCAGAACATTGAGAGCATGAGGGCGCTCCTCCAAAGCTAGGGGGGTCATTTGTAGCTGTAGCTGTAGAGAAAATAGGACCTCCTGCTCCTGCTACTCCTTGAAAAGCCCGCTCCGCCTGCAGCGTGTCGATCGTCGCAGCAAGTTCCTTCTCCTCGGCCTCAAAGTCGCTAACTTCCTGGGGGGGAATGAGGAAGGGAGGAGGAGAAGGACTATGATGAGATAGAAGGAGCAGGGGACAAAGGGACGGAAAGGGCTGGGCAGGAAAGAAGAAAGAGATAAAGAGGGAGCGGAAAAGGGAAGGGCACCCACATTCTGAGCCCACCTCTTCGGCGTATCTTCCTAACCGCGTGCGCAATGCACCCGATCAAAAGGACATGGAGGGGAGGTCGGAACGGTCGGGAAGAGGAGCGCAATGGAAAGGCTACTTGCGCAGGCGCTAGACCCGTGGCCCTTTCCGCCCCACATGCGCACAACGTCCGTGGGGGAGCCGGATCAGAACGGAGGGGGAAGGAATGAAGGAAACGGGAGGGAAAGGTGACGGGGACGCGATGGTGATGATGGTGGTCATGACGACGACGGTGATGGTGGCGGTGGTGATGATGGTGACGACGATGGCGGCACCCGCCTCCCGGCGAGCATCGTGTCGAAGAGGCGTCGCGAGAACGCGCTCGCCGCGCGGGGGGGCGTTCGACGCGCGCGAGGCCGCGCGCAGTGGAAGCGGCGGAAACGTCGACGGCGCAGGACCGTCGCGCCTGTCGGCCCGCGGTGGCGGGCGGACGGCTATGCCGCTCGCCGCACAGTCCATCACCCCGGGCGGTGGCGACTCGGGCGACGGCAAGCTCCCCCTCGCCGCGCCCTGCGGCGGCAGCTCGGGCGACAGCTCGGGCGCGCCCCGCGGCGCCTCCTCGGTCGCGGCGCGGGCCCTCTGCACCTCGGGGCGAAAGTGGGCGGACATCCGCTGGTTGACAAGCTCCCGCGGCAACGCGCCTGCGTCCGCGTCCGCGTTCTGCTCCGCCCGCGGGAACGGGGGCAACTCCGAGCTGATGGGGCGAGGGGGTCGGGGAGACGACGGCGCGACGAGGACTGGATCGACGAAGCACGGTCGACAGGGAGTCGGATCGATCGTCGATCGTCGATGGCCCATCGCTTCGACGACGAAGATCGGATCAACGGGGAGCGAACAGCCGCAACGAAATTCGAAATGTCCTCCTGGCGCGTCAACGGAGCCAGCTGCAGCGCCAGGAGGACGCCGCGCGGCGTCCTCCTCGCGAGCGGCGCGCTCCCTCGCGAGGCCAGCCGCGACCGCCTCGGGCTCCACCGCCGCGGGCGGCTGGGGGATGGGGTCCTTCGGGAGCTGCTGGCCCTTTTACATCCTGCGCGCGCCGCCGACCCAGTTGCGTCGGAACCTCGGCGGGGCAGGGGGCGGGCGCCGTCGCGCACCTGCTGCGACGCGACGACGACGCGGGATGCCACAGGACGTCGACTGCCAGCTGCGCGCAACCGACGACCGACGACAAAACAATTCTCCTTCAGCTTCCTCTCACCATCTATCATCGCCCATCGCCGCGCCGCTGAGTGCGGCGCTGGCGGAGCTCCGACGGGCGGTTCCTCCCCGCGGCCTTGCGGCGCGCGGTCGCGTAGCCGCGCGCGGTGCACCCGCGCGGGCCGCCCCCCGCCGCCGCCGCCCCGCTGGAAGGAGCCGCTCCGCCGCCCCCCCTCCGCCGCCGCCCCCGCCCCCACCTCCGCCGCCGTCGCGCACTGCAGCGACTTCTGCATTTTCGCCTCCGCCGCCTCCTTGCTCGCTCCAGGGACCAGCCGCCGCTGGGCCAGTCGTCCGCCCATCGCTGCTCCACCAGGAGCGGTCGGACCACCGCGACATGGCGGCGGGGCACTCGCGCCGACGCGCTCAACAGCGGGACGCCGCGGCGAAATCGCACCAATCCCGTGGTTGGCTCGAGCCGAATCGGCAGCGGGTCCACAGAAATGAGGAGCAGGAGATGAAGCGCATCGAGCCCCAGAGATCTCATGGATCCCTTGAAAGGCATGCAAAACGAGTTCAGAAACAATCTACGCGGGCAATAAGCGAATCCAGCAATCGCACTTGCGAACACGTATCAGAAAACACACTGAACAACAATTATATATACATTGAAAGCGAGGAATCATCCATTTGAACAAGTTACATAAAATGAACCTGATACATTCAATGAACGCGAAGAATGAAGGTCAAATGAAAAACATGTAAAATCACTACTATTATTCATTATGGGTTGGGAGTGTTCCCAAGCAGGCAAGCCTCACGACACTAATTCTCTACCAATTGCTATGTGGATCCAGCTAAGGCACGCCGCGCGCGGCGTCGGCGACGTCCAGGTTGAACAGCCGATGCGCGAGGCGGGAGCCTTGGATCCCTCCTCGCCGCGTTGCCTCCCGGACCCACTCGGTGCCGACCCGCTGCCGAGAGACTGAGAAGCTCATCGCCCGGCGAGGAAAGGTAGCGGCTTGTCAGCTCGGGCGCGCGGCGCCGGGCCGTGGCCAGCAAAAACCTCCGCGGGGGTCTTCCACGCGCGTTGCCCAAGTCCGCATCGGCAATGCTCTGCTCCTGGTCGACCTCCGCGGGCTCCTCCGCCTCCCTCATCTCCCGTGCCCGCCAGCACCGCATGTGGTGGAGCTCCATGCGGCTCCAAGGCGGGGAGCCCTGCAACCAAGCAAGACCAAGCAAAGGTCATCGGCGATGACTTCGGGCCCACGCGGGCCGCGCGCAGGGGGGGCCCCCGCCCGCGCGCGCGCCGCGTGGCACCAGGGGCGCAGCGCCCGGCGGCATCCAGCGCAGCGGTGCGTCGCGCACGTGATCAAGCGGCATGCCTGGCCGCCGCGCCCCCGCTGGCCGAGTCGGACCATCGGGGCGACGCGGCAGCGCCGGCAAACCTCGGGGCGGCTCGCGGGGCAGCACCAGCGCGGCGGCGGATGGCGGGGCCCCGCAGGGCCCATGCAAACCAATTGGAGATGCAGGGGCATCATCAACAAACGACCCACCCACACCCACTCCACCTCCTCAGCAGCGGCAGCGGCGCACGAGCAACCACCTCTCCCGAGGATGGGCTCACATCCCTCAGAGCCCGGGTCTCCTCCGCCTCCTCCAGCCGCGGATCGTCTGCAGCACCTCCTCCACAACTGGGCAGCCCCTCCGTGGCAGCCCCCGCCCCGCCGCGGCGAACGTCGTCTGCGGCGCCTTTGGCTGGGGCGCGGCGGGCGGCGCGTGGAACTCCACCTCCGACTTATTTTGGCGATGGTCCAGCTGCCAGATGCGCTCGGCAAGCTGCAGGCGTAAAAGGGCCAGCCAGCCTTGGACCCAGAGCGTTTTCCGGCATCGGACAGTCCGGCATGGCAGCCTCGCCCCGCTCCGCCTCGACCTCGCCGCGCCCTCCTTCCAAAAACTCCCGCGCCCCGCCGCCTCCCCCCGAAACTCCTCCGGCGCCGCCTCGTGCTGCTCCTCCAGCGGCTGCGCCTGGGCATGCGTGCCGTCCGGGTCGCGGGAGATTCCTCCGCCTCTGCCCGTCGTCGTCCACGACTGGCCCCCGCACCATCGCGATCGCCTCGCAGGCTCCTCGCCGGACGCGCGAGCAGCTGGCGGGCCACCCAGGGAGTCGAAGGCCGCCTCGATGGAGGGCTGGGCCCTACCCAGCCTCCGAGGGAGGAGGCGCCCTCCTGGCTGGCCTCTTCACTGGCGGGGCCAATGGGGGGGGCAACGCGCCAATGAATCAGCCGCCCGCGAACAGCAGCAGGCGAAACCGCCATGCGCACTGCGGATTCTGCGCCGCGGCCGAATCCCCAGTCTCGATATAGTCGGCGAGCCCCTTCAGAAAGCGTCTCGGGCCGGCGGCGCTGGCGGGCCCCGGCCCGCCCAGGTCTTGCCTCCGACAAAAAACGAGGGGCGCGCAGCCGGAGCAGCAGCAGCAACAAGCGACCAGGAGGTTGGCGATGATGAAGGAGCCCACGAAGATGGCGACGCACACGACGGCCATCCAGCGGGAAAGGCACACGGCCTCCCCGTCGCGCTGGGCAAACTCATCCATCCAAGGGGTCGCCGCCTTAGCTGCAGCAGAGGCCGCAGCTGCGCCTGCAACGCCCGCCTCCGGCGCCGCTTCACGAAGTCGCGGGGTCCTGGGCGGTCTGGAGAGCCCACCAGGCGGCCCAGGGGATCCCGCCGCCAGCAGCGCCCGCCCCGGGGAACGCGACCAGCGCATGCCCTCGTGCACCCCAGCGCGCGAGGGCCATCCGGCGCGACCCGAGGGAGGGAGACTCGGCTTGCGAGAACAGGATTGGAAGCACCTCAGTTTCCCGCCCTCGAGATACCCCCCTTGAGCCAAAATGGCCTGGCTTGAGCCAAAATGGCTGAATGATGCCGCTGCTGGTGATGTGAATGATACGGGTAATGATGATGATGATGATGGTGATGATGATCATGATCATGGTCATGATGGTGGTGATGATGATGGTGTTGTTAATGAATAATACTAAGAATGATGAGTCTGTTGCTGATGCTGAATATGATGGTGATGGCAATGACGATGCTGATGATAATGATGATGGTGATGATGCTGATGATGCTGCTGATGCTGCTGATGATGGTGATAATGGTGGTGTTGATGATGATCGTAGTGATGATGACGATGATGTTGATGGTGATGATGATGCTAACGCTGATGGTGTTGGTGCTGCTGCTGATGATGCTGTTGCTGATGATGACGATGATGATGATTGTGATGATCAGAATGGGGAAGGTGATGCTGCCGATGATGACGATGATGATGATGGTGATGGCGATGATTATGATGCTGTTGATTATGATGATGATGATACGGATGATGATGATAGTGATGGTGATGCAGCTGATGATGCTGCTGATGATGACGATGGTGGTGATGATACCAATGGCGAGGATGATGATACTGATGCTAAGTATGATGTTTCTGATGATAATGCTGATGGCGATGGTGATGATAATGTTGATTTTGCTAATGATGATAATGATGTCGGTGATGACGGTTATGATGCTGATGCTGATGATGATGAAGACGACGATGCTGATGCTGATGATGATGATGTTGTTGTTGTTGTTGTTGCTGACGCGCCATCGACGGCGGGTTCCCTGGATAATGTTTCCTCTCAATG